TGATACAATGATTGTGATTGTATTTACAGCTATTTGTAATAGCTCATCTGAATTTACCTTTTTGGTTTACAAAGCATGTTCTGTTTGACATCTGTGAGAGTTTGAAATGCGTATGTCTCTGAGAGCATCAAATTAAGTGAATTGTTTATTATGTTTTCAGAAAAACATAACACCATCAACAAGGTGGTTTCAGTATATTCTAAAAGAGCAGATTTGATACTATCAGCAAGTCAGTCTTTGTTAGTTTCTGTAAATAATTCTGAAACCTCAAAATATATTTTTATAACTCTATGTTAACTCAGTCTATGTGATTATAACAGATACTCTTCTTCAGATAGCACATTGAGTTTAGTCAATATGACCACACAAATTACTGTAACACCTACAAAGTGGGTATCTGTGCCATGATAGAGATATCAGGATAATAATATGCAGAAATTGCAAGCATTACATTACTACCCTAGGATCCAGAATATAGTTCACAATCCATGTACTGGAAATACCAGTGATGTTTTGGCAATGTTCTCATTTACCACATTGTTTTAAAATAATTGACAGAAAGGGAATAATATGTATATAGTATATGAAACCACCAAATTATGTGTTAATAGAAAAAGATTACAGACAATCTGACCATTAAAAGTCACATTTGCATATTTCATTAAACCAGTCTCTATCCTTCATTAGTAATAACTCAATTTATACGCTGCTCCTCAGAAACACTATACAGGGTCGATATGAGTCAGAACTGACTCGACGGCACTAAACAAGAACAATAAATCATTACTTAGTAATTTATGATGTCTGATTCAGAAAAGGCTTGTCTTCTGATTTATAACAGAAGTTATTTTTGTTACTAACTAATTCAGTTATGCTGCCTGTGCAATTGTGAAGAGACTGTATTGGTTCACAGCGATGACATTCTTTGCACACACTTGGTTCTCGGGTTCACAGTTAAATTCATCACAAATTTTATGTATGTTGCAGACAAACTTTTGTTTAGGTCTGATGTAGAATTACTGCCTTCTAAAGAACATAGACTAATCAGCTAGTTTAATGTTTCATTCAGGGCTGCTAACAATATAGAACATAATATTTGACTAAGTTGTAAACTGTGTAGACAACTTACTTAAATAACATAGCCTTGTTTACATTAGGGTTCATATTAAATAATGACAAATAATGAAGAGAAATACAACTTTTTTTGTGTCTGTGTGTGACCATGGATAGGTTTTCTTTTAATTTGTCAAATTCTAGGTCTATGGGAGTTTTTCATGTTGCCGTTACTGTTGGGTGCTATCACATCGATTCCAATTTATAACCAAACCATGTGACAGAGCAGAACTGCTTTGTATGATCTTCTTGGCTGTAATCTAATCAGGAGCAGATCACCAGGTCTTTCTTCCATGTAGTTGATTAGCGAGTTCCAGCCACGAACATTTTAATTAGCACCTAAGCACTTAACCACTGTGCCACCAGTATTCTTTGCATGTTATTAGTGGTTATTGTTAAGTGCCATCGAGTCAGTTCTGACTCATAGTGACTCTGTATAGGATTTCCGAGGAACGGCTGATGAGTAAGAACCACTGACCTTGTGGTTCAAACTGACTGCAGTCTAGCACATTATCCTACAGTGCCATTCCAGGACTTCATTATTAGTGAGGAGATTTTTTTTTTGTTTTTTTAAAGATAGGTTGTGTGTTTCCACTGATACTGGATTGGAACATTATGTTATTGACCCATAGAAATATAATCTGCATTATTTTTGAATCACTATTCATATGTGTTAGAGCTATTAAGAGTCACTCTCTCACTATTTCATGAAAACTCGAAGAGGCAGAAGAATCAGCAAATGTACTCACAAAGTGCCTGGTGTATAATAAACAAATGGAATCCCAGTGTTTGTGATTATGTGTCATTCAATTGTTTTTTTATCTCTTGTATTCTCAGTCTGATAATTACATAAATATTTGTCAAGAGAACAGTTGTATGTGCCGTATATAAGTCTCATCTCATATTCAAGTAAATATGACCCTTATCCATGACATTTTCCAGAATTCAAGCAGAATGATCGTCTCCTTCCTTTTTAATGCCATGAGTATTTTCTAGCCCTTAAATACTTACAGGGTTGTGATGAATCAAGATATATTGTAGCAAATGAATAATGAAGCAATAGATTGCTTATTAGCTATCTTTTTCATTTTAGAGTTTAAAAAATCAGTTTGAAAGCAAGTTGATGGAGTCCCTCCATGATTTGCACATGATCCAAAATGACACCAGTCCTCATTTCTATCTTTAGTAAAACATAATTGCCAGTCACTTTTTCTTGACATCAGGTCCTAAAAGACACTCCACTCACAAGCAAACTGTGTAAATGGGCTTATGTATATAGTCGTCCATGCTCAGCAGCAGTGAATAACTTTTTATGATATCAGCAGCATCTAGAATCAAAGCACTTAAGTCAAACTTCAGGGCTGATCCTGCTCCTTTCTCCTTGCTTTCTTGGCCTGCGTGTACACAATTTCTGAAACCTTGTCAAAATACAGTCTGCATTGCATAATGTTTTGCTATAAAGCCATACCGCTTTTCTAACTGTTCTTTCTTCTTAGCCTTATATTATATATGCTCAGGTAGTAAGAAATGACAATCTGCAGGGCTTTTGCAGCATACCTCCCATGGTTACAAAATATTTTCCCCGACCAAATCATAAACATGTAGTTTAACCAAAAGGCATTCTAATTTTCATGCTATGTTGAGTATAAATATAAATTCAAGGCAGCCAAACTATCCATTTCCAAATAAGAATGTATACTTACACTCATTAAAAATCATCTGGAAATGTGTATTATTAGCAAATGAGTAAGAAATTTTTACTAGTATAAAATTCCTGCTTTATATAAAAGCCACACTGGCCATTCAAGTATTTGAGGGTTGTTGGTTTTTTTGTGTGTGTGTGTGTGTGTTTTTCTTCCCCTTTAGATTTTGCAATTTGTAGTAAAAGGATAAAATTGGATTTGAAATTATATTAAAGCTAAAGGAAAAGTCACTTCTACCTACAGGGCATTTTTAGAGTGTGCATGTAAAGAACAAAGTGTATATCTGCAAATTTGCCATCAACACTCTTTCTCTCCCCCCTCTAAGGAAACAGCTCATACTTACTAGTTTTTTAGAGAACAGATTAAGCAATCCAAATGGAGAAGTAACACCAGATTTCCTCAGTTTGTGCCAGTTTGCAAGTTAAAGGTCAAAGGACAAAGACATAGAACAGGACTCTTCAAGGAAATTTTTCACAGAAGACAATGTTTAAGTTGTTGTTAATGACAGTCAACAGATCAATAGTCAAGTTCAAGGCAAGCTGTTCATTGTTTCAAAAGCTAATCCCCTTAAAGGCTGGCTTTCACACAAAGCCAATGTCTAACTCATGGGGTGCATTTCTCTGACCATCTCTAAAAAGTTCACAGCCCAGTGGCTGTAAAGCCTTTCACTGCAAGAAGCAGCTCCTAAAAATCAATAAAGAGGTCTGTCAGTTGCTGACTTTTCTCTAGGAAAAAAATATTGATACAGACCTGCTCTGCAGGTCACATGAAAATGACAATACTGCTGTTAGGACAAATTACACTCAACAATGAAATGCTTTGGTGGTCTCTTGGCTGTCAGTGATCAAATGTATGGCTAAATGCCAGAAGCTACACTAACCCTTTGAGAACTATGGTTGACATGCAATAGGAAATGCACTGAACGACTGTCATGCAACCTCAGAGTCATCATTTCTGCTTATATTTTAAATGGTAATGCTAACTGCATGTACCAAGTCAAATTGAATTCTCATGCAATGGATTTTAAAACAGAAATTCAATACGTCTAAGGGGAAAGAAAAAACAACAAAAAAAGACTTAGGCTATTACAACCAGTTGTTCAAATAAAATTTCACTCTTACCAGATACTTAATAAAATACCTTTTATTTGCCAGAAAACTTTTGGCAAGTAACACCATTTCTCTTTGTTATAAATGCATTTATGTAGTACTATAAATCATTTAAAAATTACATAGGATTACAGGATATCTGTTTTAAAAACCTGAACTTCTTGAAACCTGTGCCCTGTTTTAACCATTGCCCAGTTCTATAATTTACCAGATATCAAGGATGACAACCCTAAGACTCTGAAAGTTGATCTGATAGTTCTCAAAGGGTTACACCAATGTATTACTAGTGTCACATATCCTTGTAAAATAACTGTCACTTTAGTCCACTTCAGAGACAAACTGCTTCTTGCTCCAGCTTTGTAATGAATATTCCTGACAGACCCATGAAAGGCCTGGGGCAATGGCCTAATACAATCTGGGGAGATATCACAATGATGTAGGGGAAGGTGGCAGGAGGCCTTTAGAAACACTTCAAAACAATTAAAAGGTCCTGTTTGTATATAGCTATGAATATAACTGTGATGAAACATTGAGGACATAGCTGAGAACAGCTGTAGAAAACGAAAAATGGATGTATCATTAAGGCTGTTACTATATTGCAGATATTTTGGCCCCTTGTTTGTTGGAAAATGGCTGTCCCAACAGTCTAAAGTCCTGCATGTGTATTCCAGATCTCCCACCTGATAAAAATGGTGAGTAGGAGGCTATTCGTAGAAGTCAGAGAGCTATCTTCTTTGGAGACAAAGCTGTTTTGGGTCTTCACACTTTCCTGAAAGTTCAATGGTGGGTTGTTGGTTTGTTTAATCTTTTATCCCCCCCTTGTTTTAAAACAAAAAAAGTGGGTTTTCTCTGTTTTGCTTCCTCTCCCCCCCAAAAAAAATGGGCTCAGACTTCAGAAGGAAAATAATATTAGAAACCTTTAAGAAGAATCTTTTCATCATCTTCTTCTTCTTTTTTTTTTTTTTTCCTCTTCTTTAGTAATCCTGAAAATTTACTGGGCATTGAGCGTGCAGAGGAAAGGCCTAGAACTGAATGACAAAGAAAGACAAAGGACTGAAGAACGGCAGATACTGTGCATCATGGAAGCTTCCCCATGAGTGGATTTCCACTCATGTGCAGGACCAGCGACCCTCTGGTTTGAAAGGTCAGCCCAAATCAGGCTGCCACAAGCCTGCTCCTAGCTAGGAAACAGCAATAACAGCTCCTGTCTTGAATCTCAAGTTACCACAAACTCCTGGAAAAGAAAGGAAAAGAAAAAAACAAACCCTACATCACACCCACTCTTGCATAGAGCGTTTGCAGTACAGTATGTGGCGGGGTGTTCCTTTCCTCTTGAACTGGAACACAGTGTAAACCAATACAAGGAGGCATAAGGCCAAGATGCAGGGAATGACAATAGCTATGGCTTTCACAGTGCTGGCTGTGTTGTCCAGTTTGATGACAATGTCTACATCATCTGGTGGGCTGTGTCCTTCTTTATTTCTGTCTGTTGGTCCATCACAGCCCATAAAATCCTTAAGGATGGATCTGGGATATCCAGGTTCTACTTTGAGTATTTGGTTGTTGAATTTCCAATATTCCTTTCCTTTGTAGAAATACGTAAAGCCTAGGGGGGAAAACACACACACACAGGTACCACTTATTCATGAAAGTGCATATGTATAGAAATTTTCATTAAATTGCCTACTTTTAAAAAAAGATTTCTTTTAAGAACCTCTAATTTTCGTAGAAAGAAAACTCTACCCTCAGCTCAGCTGACTATTAAGTGTTAGAAATTTTCATTAAATTGCCTACTTTTAAAAAAAGATTTCTTTTAAGATCTCTAATTTTCCTAGAAAGAAAACTCTACCCTCAGCTCAGCTGACTATTAAGTTGGCTCTGGAAACTGTGTTGCAGACCTGAAATGGTGACTTGGTGTCCTCTATAGGTAAAGCTCATCCATAAAAGAGAACTATTATCTACAAAGGATTGTTATAATATATATTTATATATGAATATATTAATATACATCTCTTTCTCTTCATCCATTGTAATCTACCCTAGTCAACACCAGAAAGAGAACTATCTTCTTGCTTGCTTACAGGATCCCTGTTACAGAATCACACAGTAGTGTGACAGTAAACTAGATTGACAGACACTGAAATAGACTAAAACACTGAGCCCTCAGGCCACTATTGAGAAGGTTTTCAATATATTATAAAACAACTTTTTCATGATATACCTCAAAGGAAATTTCTTACCATTTTAGTATCAGGAATAATGTGTTTCTGCCTAGTAATAGGTTTGCTATTACTGTTTGAACAATACATCATAACCATGGAGATGTTTTCCTTTGTCTTTTAGGAAGCTTAAAAACAAACAGATATTTCTGACTGTAGGTTATGCCCAGTTTATGTCCCTTCTCATTTTGCTTTCTTGTTTACTTGATTTGTTAGATATTTATCAGTTAGTTATATTTTATAGAACTTTCAAGTCATCATTAATCCTAAATACCACTGTATCTCTATGACTGATAAGTAATATATCATCTCTTAGGAAGGAAGGGGTCTGTATTTTTTCTAGGAATATTCTCCAAGCTTTTGGATGTTGTTGAGCACATAGTCAAATGTTTCTTTTTCTCAATAGTTCTTTTTGGTCTAGCTTCTTTGTGACTATACTATTTGAATGTAATTCTTATCTTGAGATAAAATTTAAGAGGCTAAGAAGAAATGTTTAGTACTATAATTATTTTAAAAAACTACATTTTGGGAGCTATCTACCTTGAGGTTTATAATTGTGATGAGGCTTTTAATTTTTATTTTATGAAACATGTATTATGGAGAAGGCACTGTGTTAAAGCATGGTATATGCAATTTTACTTACTTCTCACAACTACTCTATGAGGTAGATTTACCCATAATTTTTAGGAAAAGGTCTTGAGGCTCAGAGATAAGATAAAATTCTCAAGTTCTGGATGAAGTAGAATTTACATCTTGGTTTCATTTTATATCCTGAGTACGTCATGATTTTTTAAGGCTGGCTCGCTTAGAGACTTCATACATCTTTTAACAAGTTCAACTCCATAAAACATCAGTCTGCTACAGATGCCATCTAGAAATGAAGAACTCTGATGTCTCAGAAGAACTTCAGCTTGGCTGGATCATCACTTCAGGTCATTCCATTCTGGGAAGGATTGTTTTATGCCATAAAATTCTGCTGTTGCTTTTAGTTTAGAAGGTCAGTTTTGCAATCAGGCAACTTGTTAATAAGTAAAAACAGGTGTACCCAGATTTAAATTTTTCTGCTGAGAGCAGGTATTTTATCATGTAAATGAAATCTAGTGTAATTACTCAACAAGCTTGGATGAAGAGATTTTGAGTGCCTGCCAAATAACAGTACATTCCACAATCACAGTTGAAAAACACCATTGATCTAGAATTAAACAGACCTTCAAAATAGGTAGATGCACTTCTATATTTACAAATTAAAAACCAACAGCTGAAAGTGTCCTACTTACCTTTAGATTTCAGCCAGAGCTAATTACAGTAAAACTACTGGGCAATGCAGAAAGGTTCAGAAGTTTCTGTTTTCATCATATTAATACAGTTTGCAGGCCAAGTTTTACAGTAACATTCTCCATATTAAGGAATAGAATTACATTTTAGTGAAGGCACTTGTTAGAAATAAGGACTCTGGTCAGTAAGTGTTAAATAGTATAAATGTTTGAAAAGAAGTAACCCAGAATCTTTTGTAAATCAAAATCTGCCACACTGTGGCCCACAAAATGTATCTTTCAATATTTTAGCTTTCTTATTTATTTTTTAATTTTAAAAATTTCTTTTATGAAAGGTCAGTTGGTTGAAGAAATGCTTGGGTACTTGAATTTTCTTTTTCTTTTTTAAGAACAGCTTTTATGTTATACTGTTATAAGTATTATGGTTATTAAGAGTAACAACTTCAGATAAATTCTTGCCTGCATTATTTAAATTTGAGCAATTCTGAGGAAGAAATCAATGAGACTCCAGTGTTTTACTTGATGAATATTTCTGTTATATTAAGCTTCATTTTACTGCTGACTTTTATAATGATGTTGTTGTTGTTAAGTGTTATTGAACTGGTTCCAACTCACAGCAACTCTGTATAGGGTTTCTGAGGAGTGATGGGTGGGTTTGGCCTGCCAATCCTGTGGTTAGCTGTCCAGGATGGTAGCGTAGTGGTTATGAATTGGGCTGCTAATCTCATGCTCAGCATTTTGAAACTACCAGCTGTTCCCAGGAGAAAGGTGAGGCTTTCTGCTCCCATAAAGATTTACTGCCTGGGAAACCCTGTACAGGGTTGCTATGAGTCAGAACCGACTCTAAAGCCCATAACAACAACAACAACATATCTTAGGTTTTAAAAATATAATAAAACATTGTCCAACATAGCTGTCTTACTACAGTTTAATACTTTTCAAATTATTCATTTTCTTAATGATTTTAAATTAGATGGTAGTTTTTATTAGATGCATTTTATTGATTAAAACAAAACATTTATCATCATGCTACTATCTTCACTAACAAAATGAAACAGTAAATTTTCAGTAATTTGAATGTATATGCAAACAATTCTCAATTCATTTAAATTTTTTCTGCAAATCTACATTAAAAAAAAATTATCTAGCAAAGACTTATTTTGTAGTACAAAGTTTTTCTAAAATGTCCCAGTATTTTTAAGTAAAAGAGCATCAAAAAGGAACTCTGGTAGCATAAGGAACTTTCGCAGCGTAGTGGATTACAATTTGGGCTGCTAACTGTAAGGTCAGCAGTTTGAATACCAGCCACCCCACAGGAAAGATGACTTTCTGCTCCCATAAAGATTTACAGCCTTGGAAACCCTATACAGGGTCACTATGAGTCGGCATCGATGTATCAACGGAGCCTGTAATGTTTACTTTAAATCTATACTTTAAGGAATGAAAACTAGGATTCAACAAAGTATTTTGAGTATGTTTTTGATATATAAAATATAAATTAAAAAATGTTGAGTACATTTATGTGTTGAATAAAGCATACACAAAAATGCAAGAGGGCTTCAAAAACTTCCTGAAAAATGAGATTACTGGAATTTTTCCATGAACTTTTTAAAGTCCCCTTGCTTGACATGAGTGTAAGTCGAAGACATTATTATAAAAAGAATAAAATTATATTGTTGCTGTTAAGTGCTGTAGAGTCGGTTCTGATTCACAGCGACCCTGTATAGGGTTCCCCAGGCTTTAAATCTAGAGCAGAAAGCCTCTTCCTATTTCTGCGGAGCGGCTGGAGGGCTGGAACCACTGACCTTGCGGTTCGCAGTTCGGTGCTTATAGTACGGAGCCACCACGCTCCCCCAAATAATATTAGAGTTAATCATTTATAAAATTGAGGAGGTGAGGGTTTGCCTGATTTTAATCTAAATATTGAGTTAAATAATATGCAAGTTTTACATGTTTACATCTTTTTCCTATAACGTAGCTTAATTTATAAACTGCAAATCTGAACACACGTGTATGTCATTTTTCCGAGCAGGATAAAATGTTCTGCAAATAAAGACGATCGTTAGCCTATCTAATAGTGTAGGGAGTCCTGGTGTGGCGCTGTGGGCTAATGCATCAGACTGCAAAGTCGTTTGAACTGCCAGGTCAGTGGTTCAGGCTCTCCAGCTGCTCCTTGGAAACCCTATACAGGGTCGCTATGGATCGGAATCGACTCAAAGGCACTTAACAACAACAACATACATGACTAGTATTACTTACAGGTAGTATGCAAATTGACATAGAAGATTGTGGTATGGTCATGTTTAACTCAATAAATTCATTTAAAATTCAGCTGAAATTTATATTAAATATATTTGAAATTACCTCAAATATATTTCAAAGTATTAGAAATTTTGCAATAGAGGTATGTCATAAGAGTGAATTCTTAGCAGTTTATGGAATGCAGCAAAAACACAACGCAAACATTGGGACAAATGGTTTCTTATTTTGAAAATCATGTCTGATATTGCTTTGGGGCATGGAATGAGTTTAAAGGGCATTTCCCAATCTGTGCTCTAAGGAAAGTGAATATACTGATTGATTTTATGATATTGTATATAAAAGCTTCCTTTAAATAAATTTGAGAAAAGAACTCGGTTAAATTATATATGTTGTTGTTGTTAAGTGCCGTTGAGTCGGTTCCGACCCATAGCGACCCTGTACAGGGTTTGCGAGGGTGTAAATCTTTACGGGAGTAGAAATCCTCATCTTTCTCCCGCGGAGCGGCTGGTAGTTTCGAACCGCTGACCTTAAGGTTCGCAGCCTGATTCGTAACCACTACCCTATATGTATATGAGGGGGCTTCAAAATGTTCATGGAAAAATTTCATTATCTTTTTTTTTTTTAATGTTTTATTGTGAATTATATGATAGATTTACATGGGAGAACATTTGCTTTACATTCATCCTATCGTACATTGCCATGGTTACAATCCCCTCTATGCATCATCAACCAACCAAAGGGTACACCCTGTAAGCCTGCCCCCCGTCCCACCCCCATCAGCACACAGCGACTCTCCCTCTCTGGGTCTAGGGTCCCCAGCCGCTCCATCTAGCCATGTCGTCATCTCTGCT